AGGAAGAACGAAATTGTGAATTCAACGCTTACATCCGACATAAACTTCAACTTTAGGCTTATTTCATTCAATAATATTAAAAAATATTCATGAAAATTTTTAAATAATTTACTCTTAAATTACGCATTAAAAACATCAATACAAAATTCCTGATTCGAAAAAAACATTGACATCTATTAGGTAAGAATCATGCTTTATTGATTAATTTCCGTCAATACAAATTTTAAGAAAGTTAAATATAGTCAACACAATAACTGCATGGTGCAAATATCCATAAGGATACCAATCGATAAAGGGATAAAGTGAAATAATCGAAAATAACTGGAAGATCTCACGTTTGAATGAAGCATTATACATGTTATGCACGAAATATCGAATCAGCGAGACAAGAGATTTAAACAACATATAGGAGCAAATAAACAAAGAATAGATGAGTCAAAATTTGTAATTCCAAGTGGTTTGTCTTCTAAGTAGTAATCGTCAAGAAACTAAAAATATTAAAATTAAAATTTCATTGGAAACAAGGATAAGAGTGTCCAACTGCTATGTAATATCAATCCACTTCTATGATAGCGAATGATAGACAATTTCCTCACAGGTGAACAAGGACTTGGGGCAACAGTCATCTGATTTTACAGATGGATGCTAAGAATATGATGGATAGAGGAAGTTATAAGGAAAATAGAATCAAAAAATACGTTTATACGCAATATCAACAAGAAACGCTTGATATTCCTGGCACACATAATGAGGAAAGGGGACTTAGAGAATCTGACACTCGCTGGACATTGAATGCAAAAGAGATGACAGTATCCGTGAATAACATGCCTAACGAGCATGTGGGAATAGATTACAGTGCATGGACAGGGAGGGATAGTAAGAGGTCAAACGTTGCTTATTCTACAAGGGATAGGAAACCGTGGAAAGTTCTGATCGCCCACGTCAAGAAGAGACACGTGACATAAAAGAAGAATAATACAATGTTTATGTTCTTTTTTATCTAGTGTTTATGATTTTGAACTTAATGTTTATTTATATTTATTATTGCCATGTGAAGTTTAATGTGCTGAATTTCAACGATCTGGGAAAGGTGAAGGAAAATGGGACACTAAATTCCAAGAGCGAATTAGAATAATAAAATATGCCTTCCAAAATCTAAATAAAGTATTAGTGAGCAAAGACAAAGTTTTAGAGAAAATGGAAACAAGAAGGAAACTTATACTTAGTATTAGGAAGAGACTAGGACACATAATGGGGAAAGAGAGATCGGAAAATCCGATACTCACAAGACAGATTGAAGACAACAAGAACAGAGCTAAACAACGCATAATTTATTCTGTGACTCTAAGTATATGGATGACGAAACAAGTTTTAGGAGATATAACATAAAGACAACATTTATTAAGAACGTCAGGAAATTGTGGAGAGTCATGACCGCCAATGTACTGAAAGGACACGGAACATTGTAGCAGCGGCAGAAGAAGACCAAGAACAAGATAAAAAAAGGTATATTGCTAACTTAAAACAGGTATATTAACTCTATAAAACTGCATATGCATTTCCTCTTTCTTAGATGCTGATAAGATGTAGCCAAACGAACATCTCTGGCTATATCGCTACACCTAGAGGATCGGTTCCTTCAGACGTCAGCTGTATGATCTGGTTTGTATCTGGCGTGTCATGTTCAGATAACGTTGGCAAGATATAAAGAAACGTTAGGACTTTTAACTTTATATAAATCAAGTTATTTTGGAGTTGTCAAAAAGGCAGGGCAGAGGGACTTTTTTGACCTCCAATTTTAAATTGCCATAGGGCGTTAAATAATGTCGAAAGCTCGGACTATAATTATTGTACTATTTTGTTCGAAATAAACTTCAGACAATTTCAGGTGGAATTTCTTTCTTGTCTCAGATGGAAGATTCGTAATTTGGAAAAGGCGGTTAGTAAAATTAATCGACACAAAATATCTGTTGTTTTTAATGTTATTTGCCTTAAAGGACATCTTCTAACTAAATACACAAAATCTATTTTTGTAATATATATATGGAATTTCAAATCAATACCTCAATCACAGTATACCGAGTGTAACAGCCAAATTGTCCAAATCATGGAACAGCAACATTGTTCAATTAAGATTTTAAACGTTGTATCTTAGAAATGATTAAAGATATCTTACTGGAATTCTCCGAGGTTTTTATAACACTATTGGACTCTACTTTTAACAATAAGAATGTATTTAACTCTAAGTTGAAATGACGATCCCTCTTCTTGTGACCTTATCCTGTTTTCTTCTCTACTGTTCCATCTTTTTTAAACTTATTCGCCGTTCTCTTGATGGTACTTGAATGGACTTTGAAGATAGAAGCTAGAGTATGAATGTTGATCTTTTTCCTCCACTATTGCTCAGTTGGGAAGACATAGTGGCGCTGGCACAAAATGATTTTAGACTATTCTCTTTCTAGCTGAATAACTCAAAGGGTTTTTCAGTAATTCGTACAACAAATGGTATCAAGATGTCTAAACGTCTTATCTGAAAACCTGGAAAAAAGAGACTCAATTAATTTAGTGGTATTTTAGATATTAAACATTTTGTGGGATGAGGGATCTCATCATTTGGACAATTTTGGTGGTACACCCGATATATAGTATCAATTGAAAGTTATACGCGGTCCAAATGGCCTTCCCGTTGCCTGGAATATGGTTAACTTTGGACAACAAAATAAAAACATGACTTCTTGTATAACTTATGTGAATTTTATTTTTTGTAAGTATAAATGTCCCTTAAGTATAGGTGACATAGATCATGTCTCATAGATTTTATATAAAATGTATATATCATTACTTATTATGATACCATACCGGGATCTACTATCCCGTCTTTATATTCAATTTTCACATCTTTGCTCTATGGGTTCATCAGTGGTATGTCACAATGCTAGAGGTACTAATTGTAAACGTCTTTCAAATGCAGCCTATTTATCTTCCATAAATGAACAAAAAGAGTTTATCCTGTGAAATATCAATTCAAATGATTAAAACAGATTTTTTTATAGAGATTAATTTCTTTTAAATTTTTCCTATATTTTATATTTGTTAATTGAGTGATATTTTTATTCAGTTATTTTATTCTCTTAACAATCACATATTTCGATATATTGATAAGTTTGCAGGATATTTTTATGTTCCTTACAAAGCGAGCAGCAGCATAATTTAACGCAAATCTATGCTACTCATCTTTTACGTAAGAACATTTTTTGCTAACGTAAGGAAATGTTGCAAAACCAAATTAAATATCAAACTGTCAGCACTGAAATATATATATACATGTGTGTGTGTATGTGTTTTTGTGTGTGTGTGTTTTTGTGTGTGGGGTTTGGTGCGTGAGTGTGTGTGTGTGTGTATCTGTGTGTGTGTGCGTGTTAAACTAACTTTAATATTTGGTGATGCTATCATGCTTGCCACTAACACAACGAAGTGTTTTCGCAAGCCGAATTTTATACGCATAATTTAAATTTTTGATTGTAAAAATTTAATTGACGGAAAATTAAAATAAAAGATTTTATAGGGGAGAAACACAAGCAAGAACGAGGAATATTCAAAGCGCACATTGTATGCATCATCAACATAGATAGATAGATAGATAGATAGATAGATAGATAGATAGATAGATAGATAGATAGATAGATATGAATACTCTGCAAGATATTTAGAACGAACGAACAAAAGAAAGAAAGAAAGAAAGAAAGAAAGAAAGAAAGAAAGAAAGAAAGAAAGAAAGAAAGAAACTGGGATGCATTTATAAAAACAGATTAGGATCGATAGATAAAAAGAGATTGCGAGAGATAGATAGATAGATAGATAGATAGATAGATAGATAGATAGAAATTGCGTATTTTAGAAAATACCTGTAAAACAAAAAGCTATGTTGATTTTACGGATCGCAAGAAAAGTTTGCTACCTCGACGCTCTATGTGTTCAAATGATTCCGATACGAAAAGAAATTTCATTGGATAGATAGATAGATAGATAGATAGATAGATAGATAGATAGATAGATAGATAGATATATAGATAGATAGATAGATATCAAACGAACAAAAGAAAGAAAATCATTAATTTCAAATGTTTGAAAAGTCTTATCAACGATCAGAAAGAAGATTTCTGTCGCTTTGTCAAAATGTTTAAACATTACTTTTTGCAGAGATTTACAAAGACAAGTAGTCGACCGTATCGGGAGAAATAAGAAAAAAAAAAAAGAGATTCAACAAGAATGAAAATAGAGGATATGTAAAAAAAAATATTTCAAATTTATCTGTTAAATTCTCTGAATTGTGAAACTCTGTATACTTTGGCTACTGTATTTGTTGTATTTTCTTAACTATTTCAGAACAAGAGGTTCTTCTTTCAAGAGCATTTATATTTTGGACGATAAATATCTCTGTGAATTATCGAAAAAAGTTATGTTCATTCAATAACGAATGTATAATCTTAAATGTTTTGTTTTTATAATATATATTGCTTATATTAACAGCACAAATGTTCGACACTTTGATTAGAAAAAAGAGGAAAATAAAGAAAAAGATATATCCAGTTAAATGTGTTTCACTTGTTATATGGCCAAAACAAATAGAACGTTAAGGATAAAAACAACAAATATGAGGATGCTAGACAGAATCATCGATGAAATTGTATGCTTCATTTAAATATTTCAGATATTTTTTTAAGGGGGCGGCCATAAATACCACTATAGTTTTATTGATTTGCTATCGATGTGTTTTACTCTTTTGTTTTATGTATTTTTGTATTTTTTTTTTACTTCCTTTTATTGTCATGAAAAAAAATAAATTGTGGTGATAAGCGGAAGAATACCTCATAGGTAAGTCCCCGCTTCCGTTTAAAGTTTGTGTAGATTTTTTAACAAATCTGATATTAAATAAAAACGTTTTATTATTATTATTATTATTATTATTATTATTATTATTATTATTATTATTATTATTTTCTTTGATTTCTGGCGTTTACATATTTCTTTCGGGTCCCGCCCAGGGACCTAAGGTTAGAAATGGCATCATGACACTTTCTACTGACAAAAAAAAAAAAAATATACATAAATAAAAAGCCCTTCGTAAAGTGTGGGTTTGTACTTGTCAGAACAATTTTTGTATCTCCTTGAGGCATGGACTTCCAGGAATCCTTTCAATTAGTCTACTGCAATCTTTTCCAACCAGTCATAGGGCTCCAACTACAACAGGGATTGTTGATGTTCCCATATGCCACATTTTCGAGATTTCTATTTCAAGGTCCTTGTATTTTGACAGCTTTTTGAATATCTTCAAAGATACATTGCAGTCAGCAGGGACTGCCATATCAATAAGGAGGCACCCTTTTTGTTATTATTATTATTATTATTATTATTATTATTATTATTTTGTTTGGTATCTAGTATATACTCATTTCATTCTGGGTCACGACCAGAGACATAAGGTCAGAAATGACCATACGTCAAACCAAGCCTTATTCCCCCATAGGTAAACACTTTAATCAATCAGGACACTCATTAGAAAACTGCAAATGTTTATTGATAGATTCCGATTTTAGTTCCACATACACACGCAGAAAAAAAAGAAACATATTGGATTTTAAAATTAAATACACATAAACTAGGGTTGAATAGGGACTTGGGTGTTTTAAATCTTTATAAATATTTCAATAGTTAAGCAATTTTTTTTTTTAGATATAGTTAAAAAAAAATTTTAAACAACATCTAAAATATTTATGACAGTTAGATTTAAGTTAGGAATATCCGAACAGTGACGTTCCATACCACGTGACGTCCGCGTCTCGCGACGGACGCTACTTGCTAGCAAACAGTAATTTTAATTTATTTGTAACAAACAGTTATTTCTGATGAAAGATTTAGGACAATCTGAAATATCAAACATATATATAAATAAATAAATACTTTCATAAAATAAAAATTATTATTTTTTAATTTGCAACTTTTTTCTATATATACATTTTAAGAAATTATAATGGCTTCTCATTATGATATATATATATATATATATATATATATATATATATATATATATATATATATATATATATATATATATATATATATATATATATATATATGTTTAATGTTGTCATTTTATATATATTTAACGTTGTCATTTATAGATACAAGTATTTAAGCAAATGCTCTGTTTATGATAAACAGTATTAAATAACATTTATTACAAGGTCGAATTTACTGGCCGAGACGGTTAAGGCACGTCAGCGCATATGACGGTTCCGTATGGGATGCAGGTTCGAATCCTGTCAAAGAACGAATATTTTCTATGAAAATTTCTCGGACATTCAGGCCGGTAAATGTTATTTAATACTGTTTATCATAAACAGAGCATTTGCTTAAATACTTGTATCTATAAATAACAACGTTAAACATAAAAATGTCTTTAATAAATAAATTGTCGGACCTTGTCCATTTCTTAACATATATATATATATATAGTTTTTATGCATGCTATATTTATGGGATAAAGTGCTCAACATCAGGGATAGAGCGCATATAAATGTTCGATGAAATGTTCTAGTAATCAAAACAAATGAAAATCTGTACCTGCTAAATCTCATGATTATAGAGGATGTGGAAGAAGTTCCTATGTGAAACAAATTAATGCAGTAACTCCTATAGAAGTTAGAGAAGAAAGGACTAAACATCAGCTGTAAGAAGAGAGAATGTATGATTGTCAGCAAGAGGAATATCCCAGCATCGAAACTACGAATTAGAGATACCAAAATCAAGCAAGTGGGAAAATTTATATTTTTGCGTAAAGCTTTAATAGGAAACTATGACTTTGAAATCTGAAGGCGGATTGGAATAGAGAATGTTGCCTTTCAAAAGCTAAGCAAAGTATTAAGAAAGAGGAAAATTCTATTTGAAACAAAGATAGATGTTCTGAAATGTTATGTTATACCAATCCTCATATATGGCACTGAATGCTAAACAATCTTGACGCAACAGAAATGTGGTTCTACAGAGGTGTTGTATAACATTGATTGGTGGGGATTGGTCTCATCTTCTTCTTTTGGTCGGTGTCGCGAAATCTTCTTTGGGTTCAGAGACGAAAAGCATCAACAAAGAAAACTTTTAACTATTATTTTATTAACCACGTTGACGCGTACATCTTCTATCAAGTAAGGGTTAGTAAACCTCCTAATAGGGATCCGCTTTCAAACACGAAAATCTCGCACATCCATTTTCTTTCACGTGTAACAACCGACTCTCGAAAGACCCTTCCCCATAACCGCAATCTATAACGCGTTTAGTTAGCCTGACGTCCAAACAGCGACTACTCAAAAAATCTTAATCTATAACTTATTCCCACGTTCGGCTCAGCCAGTCAAAATCAACATCCCTATTTTGTCTCCCATCTGACCTTAAAGGTCAGCCTCAGAAGGTCTGAGCCAAAATACATTGCCACTAAAAAATAACAGTCTGAAATTATTATTTAACAGAGGGATATTGTGAATACCTATAATGGACATTTTTAAAAATTGGAAACGAAAAGGACGCTAATACGTAGAATCATAATGAAACAGTTGAAACTTCTAGGACACATTATGACGAAATGGGGATTGGAGATTTTAAGATTCACAGGACATACTGCAGGCAATAGGTACATAGGAAAGCAGAAAATTACTTACCTAACGAGTTTGTGTAGATGAATGACGGAACAGGGACTTTAAGTTACTGTAAGGGCAAATTATTATTTTGATCTACAAAGAGCAGGTACACTATTTACATTATTCGGAATATTGTCCTCATCTTTGTCGCCATATTTATAACAAGGTTTCGGCCGTTGTACGCTCCGGCCTTCTTCAGATGGTTGGAATGTCGAATTTCGATCACTGGGGTAGACTGTTTAATGGATGTCAGTTATCATTTATCTCCTGTTAGTTCCCAGCTCCAAGTTCTCCACTGCCTTAACCGGGTATTGAACTTACACACTTTGGGTCCTGTCTCTGGATCTAACCAACGCCTTTATCCACTGTGGTATGTGTCTTTGAGAACATCTGTCGATGGATTTCTGGGTATTATAAACCTAATGTCTCAGCAACGATTTTTCCAGCGCTCATATTGCAATTTTTGCTGTTATAATTTCATGTTTTTACCAGAGCTCAAATTGCAATTTTTGTTGTTATTATCGCTTTTTCTCTGGCATTCCTTATTACTGGTTCCCATATTGTATTCATTTCTATGCTTGATCGGCTCAGGAGATTTATGTGGCCTAGCATATGTGCTGATTCCTTAAGTTTACGAATATTCCACTGGTGTTCTTTGTCTATGATCTCAAAATCATACACAGATATCCTCAAGGACTATAGTCTGAATAATGTAAATAGTGTACATAATATCTCATCTCAGAAATATAAACTGAAAGAGCAGGTAGTTGTGGAGAGCCATGATCATCCATATCCTGAAGGTACACGGAATAAAGAAGAAGAAGAAGAAGAAGAAGAAGAAGAAGAAGAAGAAGAAGAAGAAGACAAAAATGAATAGAAAGATGGATAAGCCCCAAAAGGAAAAAAAATGTCCAATTCTTCCTTTACAGTAAATATCAGTTGTTGATTTTTGCATGTGACATGTTCAGTTAGCGCGTGCTCATCAGCATTTGAAAGGTATAAAACACCACGCTGTCTTTCTCAAATTCTGAAATCCACAATCTTTGCCTTAAAGACAACAATTTAAGAGAAAAATATTCTATCCTAATTACATATTTGATAGTACTCACAAGTAGCAGTTGAAGTTGGTAAATATTTAACTTCGTTACAAGGCCGCATCTCATGAATATCAAACAAGGATCAGGCTTGCATGGTCAGCATAAGATGCACTTCACTGCGCTTCCCGTCATAAATCTACTCTCCCTCGATCACTTCCTATCTCTCCCTTTCATATATTCTATAGAGCTTATATTCCAAATGTAAGAAGAAAGCCGCACTCAGACAGCTTTCCTCCAATAACTTCTAATTTGTGGAAAAATCTCCGGCGCGAATGGTTCCTGAAAATTTAACCCCGCCAAATTTTGAGTGAACCGTTATCTATACTCCTCATAAAATTACAGCTATATCATATTGAAATACAGGATTTTATACCATCCCCAAAGTTAAGCAACGTTGAGA